AACCCAGTGATTATCATTTTCTAAAAGATGTACAGCTTCAAATGCTTCTCTATAAGTTGCGCATTCCTAACCGTTGACATTTTTAAGATTTTTATATCCTGTAGGACACCGAGCATGGTGCAGCAGCAATCGTAAACAGAAACATTCAAAATTAGTTACATGGACGGTATACACACGACCAAGGGCATCTGATGACTTTACACTGGACCAATTTGCAACAGGCGCGCCTTGAATACGGCGTTTCCACTCCTTCCTAGATATGTGTGGGGACTTCAGAACGTTTAACAACGTTTTTGCAAAGGGTTCGGTTTGAAAAAATTGAAAGAAGCCTGTTAGTGTAGTTTTTGGAGGTGGTGCAATTATTTCTTGGAAATTTCTTTTGGTGAAATATACACGGTCTCCATTGTCTAAGTGCACAGCAAGGTGAGTAACTCTTGGGTGCCTTTCGTGTAAAGGGAAACCAAGGAGACGCCACGTTGCCTCGTTACTACTAACATAACGCCCTGCTTGAAAGGTCTGTACTTCATTAACGGGATTTGAGTCACCTTCACTCATGAGAATAAATATTGCTTGGTCGCTTCCTTTATTTATGTACTTACAGATATACTTGATTGCGCGGACAGAGCTACATGCTTCCACATTAATGTGGCCATTAAATATTTAATATAGAATGGGCGAATACGGGACATTCAGCTGTTATCTAAGGTTTCGAACACTCCAGAGCGAGATTTGATTGTAACTTTCCTGCCACCATCTTCGTGAGCTCTGCGTCTGTATAAAGGGTAGCTATTGTCATTGTGCACCGTTTCTTTTAATAGCTGTTTAGGGAATTTCTTTGTACGTTTTCCTTCTTTCATACATGGCGATATTGAATTTCGTGCTCCACATGGACCGTGAATCATACTTCGGACGATGGTATTCATACAATTTTTTATCTTGCTCAGGATCCGGAATCTCGGCGCTTATTATATCGTCTATTTGGCTGGGCCGCAACTTCTCTTTAACCCATATTAGAATGTTGGCATGCGGTAATCCTCTTTTTTGCCATTCAATTGAATACATGAAGCACTGCACCTCTCCGAAAATTTTCCTTTTGTTAAATACATTAATTTTTGTACTTTTAATCTTAATACTCTAGCAACTAAATCGTGTCTGTCAGTACTTTTTTGGCTCGGCATTAGCTCCTCGGTTATTTCTTTCCATGTGGGATTGCAAGTAAAATTAACAAAAAGATCAGGTCTTCCGTAAGTTCGTACATAGGCGAATGCCTCTTGTGTGTACTCATGTAGGTAGCGGGGACTGTTAACGAATGATGAGTAAAATGGTAATTCTGCCGAATTACGATTTTACCTAATTCTCTGGCGTTTACATTGGCGTCGCTAGAAACTGCATCTTGTAAATGTTTATAATTCTCAACGCGCAGTTTTTTTTGATTTAAAGATATATAATGGAGATTTCACTTTTTACCTTCACATACATGTCTACCAAAAATTGATGATATAATTGTCTACACCAGGCTAAGAGGTTAAAATAATTTTCTCACAACATCATATGATACGTATAAAAATCCATACATGATACTTTTTTGTTTCGGAGTAGGCTCCTTTATGACCGGGTTAATAAGTAGAATTTGAAAATGATAACCCTCTTGTCTTTTGCAATAAATCAATGGGTATTGTAGAGCGTCATAAAACTTGTTTGTATCGGCTACCCGTTGCAATGTATCATCACGTGCTCGCAAAACAATGTCTCGTGAAGAAAATTGATCACCACTAATTACGGCTGCTATTTCGTTTATCAAAGGTGTATTTTAGCGCCTTTCATGCTCTCCTCGAGGGGTCCGATCTGCGTGAATGACTTTATAATCCTCTTCAGGTAGGTTTTCTAAAGCAGTTTTAAATGTTTTGACTAAAATGTTACTACGTTCATGCAAGAATCTTTGAATTTTGAACACTGTGTCCCTCTCAACTCCCTGGATAAATTGGCAGCGACGGTCTACCTCAATTTCTTCGTCACCCATAAAATATACTTTTTAAAATTTATGGTGATCGTTTTCAGCTGGAAAAAGTGAACCTATTCTATGATAAATTTTGCCCTTGCACCGTAAATATAGGCGAAAATCCCGGCATTATTGTTTCCCGGTCAATTCCGAAGGACGTCATTTGAAAGTTTGACTTAAATTTCCGGATTCTGTTTAAAAGCGCCGTGACTCATTAGCATCATATAAAAAGAGAGTTTTTAAAGGTTCTTTTGGTTCCCCAAGTAACGGAAGAGACACTCGCTATTGGAACAGCACATGCCTGCGGTCTCATCTTTCCATTTTAAAGCGCTGCTAAATCGACACGCCTTGTTCATCAGTCCGATATCAACTAATTTGTGATTTTTATAATCAATCGACGGATCATCATTGAATACTGCGTCATTAAAAACCTACCAATTATTTCTTTGAAAATGTTATAGACGTTTAGCTTGGCGCTGTGCATTTGCATCTCTTAGCGCCTGTGTCTGTTCTGGTGTTTCAGATGCCCTTATCGTAGATTGACGTTCAGCTTACTCAATAGGTGTTTCCGCGGCTCTTAAGGCGGCCTGACCTTCCGCTTGTTCGAATAGCCTTTGCTGACTTTAAGCAGGTGTTTCAGTAGCTCTTAAAGTAGATTGACGCTCTACCTGTTCAAGACGCCTTTGCTGACTTTGATCAGGTGTTTCAGTAGCTATTAAAGTAGCTTGACTCTCTGCCTGTTCAAGATGCCTTACCTGACTTTGAGAAGGTGTTTTGGTGCTCTTAATGCAGGCTGACGCTCTGTCTGTTGAAGACGCCTTTGCTGACGTTGAGAAGGTATCTCCGATGCTCTAAAAGCAGCCTGACGCTCTGCTTGTTCTTGCCTTCTCACTTTAGCATCTTCTAATGATTCTAGCGATCGAGCTCATCTTTTTGCTTGTCTTTGAGAAAATACTCTTGAAAGGCTGGACTTACGTTTGCGATCCATTATGAAGTAACAAAAAACCTATTTATAAAAAAAAGTTCAAAATACCTAAAAGGAATTAAATCTAAATTTAAATATTTTCTTAAAAGCAAATCCAAAATATCTAAAAGGAATAAATATTCCTTTTAAATAATTTTTAAAATCAAAACAACAAAACCAATTCAAGACACAACACGAATCCAAAAACGATAGCCAAAAAAAAGTCTAATCAACATAAACCAAATCACAAAACAAATCGCAGAAAACCGAAATCGAAAGCAGTAGTCAATATAAATATAACCAACTAAAAAAGAAGTAAGTGTATAGATACCTTATACACTATCTATAGTATTAATATTCCTTTGAAATATTGTTAAACAACCTAAAACAACGAAAACCAATTCACGATTCTAAATAAATAAAATCCATAATCAAAGCCAGAGTCTAAATATGTATAAAGGAACACCAACCAAATCAACAAAACCGATCCAAGAAAATACACAAATCCGAAAATGAAAGCAAATATAAATCCATTCAACCTTAACCAAATCACAAAGAATAACAAACAACCGAAATCGAAAGCAGGTCGTCGAATAAGCTTCGAAATAGAAACAATTTATGCGTATAGGTACCGTATGCACTATAAGTTGACGCGCGGCTCAACGGTTGGAGTTAAGTACATGTCAGGAAACATTACGTTACCGCGTTTAAAAACCTAGTAACGACATCTAGCGGAATTAATTTAAGCTATATATACGTTAGTTAATAAGAACTCTGAAAAAATATTTTTCTTATAATTTTGCACAATTTTTCTTATTTTAATACCGATTCATTCATAACCACATATAAGAACTGTATTCATTTCCGTTCAATAAATATTACTAAGGCTTATTAATAAGGCTTACTAAGAACTGTTTCTACAACAGTTAAGTAATAGTTATGGGTGAAAGCGTGACAGGTGATGATAGTATTTCTGATCCATAGTTATAATCACGCCTGTAACCCTTGCGAGGTAGGCAGAGCATCAACGGATTACTTAATATCGTCTGCGAGGTTATCGCCTACCAAACCACCACCAAAACGCGTGAAGAAAATTAGCTGGTGAATTTTATGTTTTTTATCGCCCTCTTTTCGGTCCTGCGTGGAAAAATACAGATCCATACATTTTTATCTTAATTTTGGTAAAAAGACATAATAACCCAGATATTCTGACCCTCTGTGTTCGTCCATCGCACCGTCGTCCGTCTTGTAGAATCAGGGTGGCGCCACCTAGCTGAATTTAATTTTGCAACATATTCGATTTACCCATGGGATTGATATGTATTTCCGCTGAAAAAAGTAACCTATGTCATTCTACAGCCACCGAACTATGCCCATACAAAAAAAATCATGCCATGTCGACGCTCTGTTGCGACGTGAAAGAAGGACAAACAAACAAACAAACACACTTTCGCATTTTTAATATTAGTGTGGATTTATTATATATGTAGTCCTAAGATTTAATTGTTGCATTTATTATTTCAGTACAAAATTGTAAATAACCCTCATTAAGGACAATAAAAGAGCGAGTTTACGGTGGGCTGTTTCTCATAATTAAGGAAGGGAGGAATTATATATTCAATATTGTCCTTGGTGAGCGGTATGTTAAGGTATAGTAGTTCACCTTTTGGATACTTGATGGCGCTGTACAAAAATTATATCGCGATATCGACGTGCAATTCAACTAGACCATAAGGCCACATTAATATTATCATTTGTTTTTGTGTATTAAACTTCACGTTAATATACCATAGTATATAAGTTGTGGAGTGTTTTATTAAATCATCCCATCGTAAGCCATTTTGGCAAGTAGTACAGTGCTAGTCCAAATAGTGTGTGTGTGGTTTTTTTTAGTATACGGGTATATTACCATGATGATAGTAACTAAGAAATATGTCCAAATTGTTTTTTAATTGACCTTAACTTTATATGTTTTTGTAAATCGTTTTTATAACGTACAGTAATGATTTATACTCATCGTATTTTTTTCATATACAGTGTTACCTATTTTTGTTACACTGTTGGATCGTCCACAACAATTACTTGCAAGCTCTGTCACAACATTACGTTGTGTCGCTAGGGGCAGCAGACCGCCAGCACAAATAAGTTGGTATAAAGATAACAGGAGTTTTGGAAAGGACAAGGTAATAATATACAGATCAAAGCTCATTAAAGTTTTATTTTTATCCTAGATTTTATCTCGTTTTCTGGTCATGATAATAGTCTGCATATTAAGCGTGGCTACTATGACAAATATTCGTAGTTATTACAGAGAGCCGAACAGCCGTAGACCACATGCCGGATACCGACAAGCTGGACAGATGTCATCGGCGCATTCGTTTATATCTCGGGGTATACCACTGATAGTTGTTGGTCTTAATAATCTGATCGTGTATTGCACAGTAAAAGGCATCGGTTTCCTCAAAGTAGTCATTGATCATTAGCTAGTAAAAGGAGTCAACCGTATATACGATATGCTCATGTAGCGCCTTGTAGAATCTCCCACATAGCTCCATCTCCTTCCATACGGTCCACCAATCGGAAATGCTCTGAACTGCAAGGTCTTGCCATTGCTTGTTAGCTAAGGATAGAGGGGTAAGCCATTTATTACAAGAAATGACGTTATTATTAAATGGATCATCCAATCATGTTAGGAAGTTATTACGGAGTCTGCACACTTCGCGATTATCCATGGAGAGCGGGCTTTAAAAACCACGCCTATCATGCTTCCGTAGCAAGTACAGCCTCGTTACTGACAACGTAATAGTGATACTTATTATTATCTTACTATATCCAGCCCTTCACAGTAATACGGCTGACATATGTCTCCCTTAAGGAATGCCACCAATTTTTTAAGTTTATTACAGTTCATCTACATTATTTTCGAGTGGTTGGTTTTATCTTTCGGAATTTACTAAATATAATGTTTAAATAGGTAAGTGAACATTTCAACGAGACATGGTCTATCAGTACTTTGATATTTAAGTCTACACCAATGGATAATGGCGCAATAATTAAATGTGTAGCAGTTAATCCAGCCCTTCCAGGAAAAGCAATCGATGATCAGTTTCAACTCAACGTTGTATGTGAGTATTTTAGGGCAGATATTTGTTGGAGAATTTGAAATAAAAAAAACATATTTTAATAAGGAGTAATATTATTAAAAAAAAAATTGAACTATTTTAAACATGCAATTGTGATGTTTTGATTTGTTTAGAGTGTATTTAATTTTATAAATAACCTTTACCTGAATGTCTAACTTGTCTTCTTTTTCAGACAGTCCGCTAGTAACGTTGACTTTAGGTAGTACACTGAACCCACATGATATCAAAGAAGGTGATGACGTATATTTTGAATGTAACGTGAAATCAAACCCCCGAGAACATCGTATATCCTGGTATCATAATGTAAGTGGCCTTATATCACGTGAGTAAAGAAACCGCTTATGTTATAACTTAAATAAAAGACAATTTTTAGTACCGGCATTTAAGAAGTTTACTGCTTGGCTTTCAAAACAGATATAATTTAATCAAAAATCAATTGCAAAATAATTTAAAATATGATATTATAAAATACGGGTGCACTGTAAATGTCCTTAGTTAAAGACCTTAGTTACCTCGTACCTAAATTATATTTTGTATGTTGTTGAGTCATTGTAATAATTTTCATTTTTAATAACCATTAATTGTAAAGTAAAACAACAAAAATTTCGTTTTTTGAAAATATTAAGCGATTTAAATAGATATTGTTTAAGTAACAAGTATTTTTTTAAAAGTAAACCTGCAACCATACTCAAAAACAAGTTGGAAAAATTAATGTTGGAATTAAAAGAAGAAGATTGGTCAGTTTTTACCATCAGTCAAGTGTAACGTCCCTCTGCAAGATGCAGGATTGTACAAGCTTGAATGTGAGTGCGGTCTCTCCTACATAGGACAAACTAAAAGATCAATTAAAACCCGCGTTAAAGAACATATAGCTGATGTGAAGAATCGACGCTCCGGGAAGTCTGGAGTCTGTGAACACGTACAGTATCGCCCCCGTCACTACATCAGATTTGATAGACCGCAGATACTCGCTAAAGAACACCGATTCCTTCCAAGGATGATTGCGCGAGGCTATTGAAATCAAAAAAAAACATCTTAATTTCAATAGAGAAGATGGCTGGGTGCTACCATTTGCTTGGGATCCTATAATAAATAAAATTAAATCCCAACCCAAGCATACAACTGCAAGCCTTCAAGATACCATAAGTTCATACTGTGTAGATTGGAACAAAAGTTAAATTTTTATCTGTGGTACCGCTGTTAACCATGACATTTGGACGTTGAACATCTCAGTCCCTCCCGTGACCATGGGTGCTGTAAAGCGCTCGAAACGTCGGGTATTTATAGTTAAATATACGCGATACAATCCGTAAAAACTAGTATTATTTCAACGTGTAGTGTTCGCGTAAATATAAGAAATCATTATGTTGGAATTAAATTTCGGTCTCAGTTGTATATTTCACTGACTGCTGTATTATATGATTGATATATGATTGATTGATCAATGGTTGTTACAAACTATAAAACAAAATGATGGATTTCCAATAAAATCAAATGTTCACGTGAACAACGAACACAAGTATTTTCTAGTAAAAAGAAGTAGAAAGTTAAAAAAAATATTAATTTTTTTATATTTCAGATGTCTTACATAAAAGTTGAGTTCTGGCGTCATGCCGTATTTTATAATAAATATTTGTCATTAATAATACCAGTGTTAATTTTCAGGATATTCCTGTTACGCAAAACATGACATCTGGTATAATTTTAAGTACTCGGTCACTTGTACTGCAAAAAGTGACAAGGCGAGAAGCGGGAAAATATTCATGCAAGGCTGCAAATATACGAGGAGAAACATCGAGCGAATTTGTCACGTTAAGAGTTCAATGTACGCTTTTAGCTTCATTTTTCATGTCGCTACGCTGTACGCTAAGGAAACTAGTTACAAATTCTGTTATTAAGTACTAATAATTATAAATTTTAACAGAAGTAAAAACTGACTTCCTAGTGCTAAAAATATATTTTTATTTGCTAACCTTAGGGGTGGAATTATTTCTCCAAATTTATGTGAGACCAAATTTATATCAAATATAACCTATTTAATAAAAGTAATCATTAAAATTGGTTTACAATCTTCGAAGATATCGTGAAATATAAAAAACATACAATCGAATTGAGAATATCCTCATTTTTGAAGTCGCTTAAAAAGAAGCTCAAGCATCACTTGGCCGCTCAATTGCGGACCTCACACAATTATGCCCGTCCGAAGTTGTATTGTAACGCGTCAACAACTTATCACAGTTAGTTTACGATCGTGGTTACTAACACCAACCCTCCCTAATTTATTCATTACAGTCTATTAATGTTACCTGCTGAACATAGGCCTCTCCATAGATTGCCTCATAATGACATCCCTATGACACCTATTACAACACCTACTGCACGATATGGTGTAGTGGATATTCATACACCCCTCAGTATACGATACGAGATATTTTTGTTTTTATTGTTCAATGGGATAAAACATTTACGTTGTACGTAAGTATGGACTGTACTAATATATTAAATAACATGCCTGTGATACCATCAATAAAAAGGCAAATCTAGAAAGTATGCAACACAAAATTATAAATTATTTTGATTATTTGTGTATCAGTTTTCATAAAAATACGGTATAATTTGTTGAATCGTACCTAAAAAGTTATTATTAATATATAATGTATGGTTGAGCGGCGGGCCTAGGGGTTCCCGAATTCGATTCCCATGTCGAGCCTTGACCCTATTGTGCGAGATGTTATACTAAGTGCACTGTATACGCGGTTGGCTTCTTATGCCTCAACAAGATGGCGGACGTGGCACGCGACAACCTTGGGCAATGCACTCGCTCTTCCAAATCTATTGCTTTGCCAAGGTTAGCATTGAGTTCTACTGGAGCCAATAAGAAGAAACAAAATGGGGCGGGTTAGCTAATAAACAAAGGCTCAAGTGGCAAAATTACTGGAAACACACTTACCGGGGTGTGATTTTGATGCTGCGGACGACGCTTCTGTTGCGGTAGTGCGTTGAAAATAGGAGCTGGCGCGACGTGAGGTGGTTTTTTCTGGGGCGCGACTGCCCAAGGTGGTGCGGTTCAGACTAGCGGCCCGAGGCAAGAGCGGTGCGCGACGATTTCTCACACTATGTGAGGCGGTTTTTTCTGGGGCGCGACTGCCCAAGGTGGTGCGGTTCAGACTAGCGGCCCCAGGCAAGAGTGGTGCGCGTCGATTTCTCACACTATGTGAGGCGGTTTTTTCTGGGGCGCGACTGCCCAAGGTGGTGCGGTTCAGACTAGCGGCCCGAGGCAAGAGCGGTGCGCGACGATTTCTCACACTATGTGAGGCGGTTTTTTCTGGGGCGCGACTGCCCCAGGGATGCGGTCGAAACTAGCGGCGCGAGGCAAGAGCGGTGCGCGACGAATTCTCACACTACGTGAGGCGGTTTCTTCTGGGGCGCGACTGCCCCAGGGATGTGGTAGAAACTATCAGCGCGAGGCAAGAGGACGCTCGAGGGCGGTGCGCGAACCTTTATTGAGTCAACTTTCCCACCACCTCATCTCGGCGGGGCGCGCGTTTTATTGGTCGAAAGAATCGCGTCACCTTTTAGACCCTCCTCCCCCTTCAGTGTGTACGGAATGGATATGATAATACAGGAAGGACAGACACTTGGCGAGCAATATACCCTCGAACAAAATTAAAAATACGCAAATCATTTCGCGTAACCAATGTACAATATATAATATTAATAAATAAATTACTAAAATTAATTTTATGAATTCAATCCTGTTTAATTTTAACTTATTTTTAGTTTCCAACTTTAGGGTGTATTTTTATTCACTCATATAATATAAGAAATCAATTTATTAAGACATTTTATAAAATTAGAAAACGAACTCACACTCCACCTGATAGAAAGTGGCTGCTCAGGCACTGGCTGTAAATTGCCAGCTCATGGTGATCGGTGACCGCCAATACGGTATCCGTCGTGATAGATCAGTTGGTGATTATGACCTTACTAATAGATAGGCGGGGGCAGCAGAGTTTAAGGAGGAGCCATTGTCCGTTAGTTTGGACGTAGCGCGATAGGATCACTAGTTTTTTTACTAATCGGAGCATCAAGGTCGTAGTAGACGGTGATGCAATGATATATATATATATATATATATATATATATATATATATATATATATATATATATATATATATATATATATATATATATCATCATAATTTTTATATAATGTAGCTTATTCACGCTGGTGTTCTACAAGGCTGTGTGCTATCACCAACGCTGATTATTCTGCATATCAATGACATGTTGCAAACTGGTAACATTCATTGCTAAGCAAACGACAGCACTAGTGATGCCATATACACCGGCCGTGCCAATATTTTTCGGGTAATCATCGCCGAGTACCGGGACAAACTTGTGCCTGAGGTCGAGTCTTTGCTTAACAAAGTCTCATATTAGGGGCTAAAAGAACCCCTTTATCGTATCTCCTCAGTTTGAAGACACACCCTTTCTGCCTCAGCTAGCATCAGAATACTTGGTGTCGACATAATTATAGAATAGTATACACTTTCTTGGTCACTTGGAAGGGAAGGCCAGTTTGGCTTCCAAAAAGCCTGGCGTACTCAGCAGAGCAAGACAATATTTCATGCCGGCACATCGCTTGCAACTTTACAAAGCGCAAGTTTGGCCTCGCATGGAAAACTGTTCTTATCTCTGGGCCGGGGCACCCCTGTATCAGCTCCTTTCACTTGACCACATTCAGTGCAGAGCGTTTCGAATCGTCGATGACGGAGTTCTTTCTGATCGCCTCGATTCACTTGCGCTGCATAGGGATGTTGCATCTCTTTGCGTTTTCTATCGTACCTACTATGGGGAGTGTTCTGAGGAATTGTTCGGATTACTTTCAGCCGCCAAATTTCACGAAAGCACATCGCGTCAAAATTCACGATACCATCCTCACCATCAGGATACTTGGCGATCTACCACTGTGCGTTTTACTAGGAGTTTTGTTCCTCGTACAGCTTCTCTGTGGAATTGTTTACCTGTCACCGGTGATTTTTCCGGTACGATTTATGGTCCTTCAAGAAAAGAGCTTTCTTCTTTCTAAAAGGCCGGCATCACACCTGCGATTCCCCTGGTGTTGCGGTAGTCCATAGGCGGCGGTAGTCACTTACCATCAGATTAGCCACATGCTCGTTTACCCCCTCTTCTATTAAAAAAGCCCATGGGCACCTACAACTAACTTTAAATAAAGACATCTACAGATGCGCTGTCACCTCCGAGGACTAAAATTAAATTCTTCACAGACTGTAGTTATATCGGCTATTTATTCTTTTGTTTATCTCTATTCTCTTCAGACCGGAACACAGCAGTGCAAGCACTGTAGTTTAGTTTTATGAAATGGTTGTATCTACACAGACAGATTTCTATGCTAAAAATCCATAATATATATATAATATGATGTGATATGGAATTAGCATAAGCGTCATGTTTCCAACAATATTAATCATAAAATGAAAATTACGTTGTTAAGAGTAATCAATGTTTAAATGTTTATTTCTGACTTAATTTATACATTTATGTATAACAAACGACGGATACAATGACATGTATTTCAACAATAAAATGTCACTGTACGGTTTGCAGAGAATGAGTTACAGCGCAATAAATATCGTTATATCTGCGAGTAGGTATTCAAATGATTGCGGCAGGGATCGACATACCCACTTCCTTCCGCGGCCAACTGGCCGCCGAGTAATTGCCGCTGAGGAAGGCAGCAACAGTAGTAAATCATCGAAATTATTACCTAATATTACTGCGACTCACCACGAACCTTCGCAATCTGTTGTTTTGTGGGTACACATTAATTCATAGAGCTTTGTTTTAGTTAGTAGACCGGAATAAATTTCTCTTTAAATCCTTTGGATTCATTTGCCAAAATACTGTAGCTGTAATGTTACGAAATACACGTTAGCTATAATGCTTTGCATTTCAAACTTTTAATTAAATAAACTTGGTTTAAATAGACTTGCTTACAAAACTTTGTTATCATGTCATTAATATTTTTTAAATCATCATAATTTTTAGCGTTGCGTTAATATCCACAAAGTTTACCACCACGTAGCCAAATGTGCGAAACTGAAAAAAGTTCTAATATTAAAATTATGTTATTAAATTTTTCAAAAAAACTCTCCATCGACGCATATAGTTAACATGAAACTAAACTCATTTTTAAAACACTTTACAACATTCTCATACGCTACTAGTGCATATGCGTCTATGAATTTTAGCCGATTTTTTATTTTAATGAATAAAAAGGTTTTAAGTGCTGAGTGATGACGAGCCGCAAATGAGTCATCATGGTGAAGCAGTAGCACATTAAGCACAGTGTTCGGTCGCTTTTTACTCACAGAAGTATACACTTCTGGCAAGCATTTTTTCGCAGATGCTACTTCAATTTCCTAAATAAATTGATACCAGATACCTTAATTAATAGAATCAGGATCTTTACGGAATTACTTTATATTAAAGTTGTCAGCAATTAATTTGTTTATTTCCGCGTAAAGATATGAAATGATCTGTCCTGCCTAGTTTAAAGAGCACCTCCCACCCTCCCTCAATTGCATCCACTATTCCCGTTATCATTAATCCCGGCACCAACACCCCAACACCACCACTCCCAACACCACCACACTAGGAACGATACACCACCCTCTATAACACGACACGTGTTTCACCTCCACAAGAAGCATCCTCAAGTGAAGTGGACTTTGCCGTAGCTGATCGCTAAGACTAACACTTAGTGGTCAGCTACCGCAAGGCAGCAACAAATAAGCAAATTAAGTTCTAACAACTTCAGCCAAAATGAAAAAAAAACTCTCGATCAAATTGTTCACTGCGCTTTACGTTTGCTTTACTTTCGTAGATGCTTTTTGTTTTTAAACAGCCAAAACGTCAACTGCAATAATGTTGTAAGCTCGCCGAAACGAGCCTGTTTGAAATTTAGTAGTCACGTTACGACAACCAACCACGCGGCCCTCCTTCTGAACACACGGTTATGCCGCACCTAACGCGAATCTATCCCCCTCACGCAAAGGTGTTCATGTAAAACCTCGTATACGCTTACCAACCTTTCCTGCAATATATGCTAAATTTCTTCATAATTAATTCGCCTATTTCCATCCGACCTAATATGGGAGGAGGTATTCAATTTGAATGTATTTTTTAATGTGTGTTACTCAAAACTCTTTTCTAGGTGAACCAATTTTAATGATTATTATTTTTTATTTGAACGCTGGTGCTTCTCATGTTATCTCTTGTTAGTTATCCTTAATAATGTGTATTTAATTGAATTCGACAACGTTGATAATGTTCTCATTTTAGTTATTGAAGTCGTTTGTACAAAATTTTTAATTTTACTACTTATTATTATTGAATTTTGCACTGCCACCACGTTTTCTTCCGTAACCTTTGATGGGCGACCATTCCTTTGTTCATGTTTCAAAGTTGTCAATCCCATTAAAATTGGTTGTATTGGTGCTATATGGTTGCCAATAAGGGCCTTTATACATAAACGGCACTGAAAGTCTATCAAGTGATTAATCCGATTTTAAGCGACATTCCAGTCAAATGTTAATAAAACTTATAGAGTGAAAATGTTTCCGACGCAAATCTATTTTAAAATAAAAAATGACATTTCAATATAGCTTGAAACAAATCTGAAGGGAATTTGAAAATTGCAGTAATCTTATTTTTACTTATAAATAATTATCTTTTTAAAATAAATTATATATGACCGAATTCTCATACAATTAATACTTAAGCTTTCTATGAGAGCTCTCCAGTATTTTACAGAAGAATATTTTTCTATACTAAAATATTTTACTACTTTGGCTATGTAGAATGTAGAAAATAAAATTCGTAATGTAGCCGATATGAAATTGCGTTTCACGAATTTCAATACTGCATAAAAATATTTCAATATTACGTTATGGCTTATTTGATTTCGTGCAAAGCATTTTATTGTTCAAGGACTATTTCGTTTAGTAATTGCTTAACCCTATTAAAATATTTTATATTAAATTTAAAAGTAGTAGCTCAATAACAATTCAAAATATGCAGAAAGTAAACTTAAATTTATATTATTTACATAATTGTTCTTCGTAAAATGTGACTTAAACTTTTTAGATGCTCCAGTATGCAGTGATACGTCACCACAAGTCGTAGGAGCAGCTTTGGATGAGGCATTACACGTGAGGTGTTCCGTGCACGCTGACCCATCAGATGTCACGTTTCTTTGGCAATTCAATAATAGTGGAGAGAGTTTTAACGTTTCTCCAGCTCGATTTGGTAAGAAAATTATTATTTAAAAACTTTATTATAAAATAATCATTATTAGCTGAAAGATAAATTTAATGGTTTACGGAAAGAAAGTTTCAATATCTATTTTATAGTAGGAAGAGTGTAGAAAGAAATATAAGATTGAATAAAACTAAATTTACGGATTCTATCGCGTTTATTTGACTGATTTTACTTATTTTTAATTCCCGACGTTACGGGTGCTTTACAGCAACCATGGTCACTGGGGGGACTGAGATGTTTGACGTCCCAATGTCATTGTTAGCCCGGCTACCTTCAGTTTTTGAATATTAATTTTTGGTCCGATTTACGCAAAACAAACTTACAGTATCTTGAAGTCTTGCAGTGGTATGCTTGGGTTTGGGTTTAAGACGTGAAAAACGGGTATTTTTGAGTAATAAAAAATCTAAACTATTGTTGGTATAACTCTTCGAAAGTCATTAAAAATTAGGAACCACAAGAAGTGCTGTGATTACAGTTGATTATAATAGTGATCATGTATATGGTAGATTGTGAAGCGTACAAATACGCATACCACCTACAGCATTTTGAGTCCAAGTTGGGACCAAATACTTTCCGAGAATGGGGCAACTAGCAAATATTACTTAAAATATCATACTCACCACGTTGAGCAGGCATATTAGTAAGCACCAAGTCAACTCCACCGCTAGAATGAATGGGTTCAATGTTTTTAAATAGATTTTCTGCCATAAATTGATCGCAAGTCATAAATTTAGTGATCTAGGTACACCTCTGCAGGTAAGTCTAGCTATTGAGGGCATGGGTCTTGCACCTTCGTTCTTGCGCAACTTCGCTGGGTTCGGACAAGGTGTATGTATCTGAGATATGATCTAACACATAAATTATTTTTTAATTTAGCTCGTATTATGTAGATGAATACTTCAATAAATGCTAACATGATAAAACAAAAAATGTTCTATTTTCTGGAAACGGGCTAATCATTTTAGGAAAAATTGTATCGCGTCGCCGCTTTTGGAGAAAACGGCTGGCATCTAGTTTATTCTACTTTAGACCCCAATAATAAATCTAATTATAAAAGTAGTAAATATATATTTTATGTTATTTATTTTATAAGCTTTATTGCAAACCATATAAAAATTACAATTATTTAAACATAAGAAGCATAAGCGGTCATAAGCGGTATTCAAACATCTTTCTCTCTCTTCGATCTTATTGCTGATATCAATTTTTTCCAGACAACCAATGAATGGACAGGATTACACAAAGATGACAAGGGTAGGGCACATTGGTGTGATTAAAAGGAATACACATTATATATATATATATATATATATATATATATATATATATATATATATATATATATATAAATTTATATTTAATTATTAAAGTGCAAGGTAATGGTTCTTTACTAGTTTTTAAATACCGATAGGAATGGTGCGCGACGAAACTGCCAATGGGTGTTTCATTCCATAAACAAACGGCCTGTACAGTAAAATACTTATTCTTACGTTTACTAGTGTGTAGTGGCATATAGGAATAATGAATAAAATATATGTCTGTTTAGCTTTCTCGACAGTAAAAAATTAACATTCTATTGCAGGCCACAATAAAAAATATAAACATGTTATTTTGTTGCAACATTTGTAATTTATTTAGAATAAAATTTTATATGCACTCAGGGACTATTAATGGCAGCACTAGTGAATTACGCTATACGCCAGCTAGTGAGAGGGATTATGGAGCGCTAACCTGCCGAGGTACAAATGTGGTCGGTCGACAGCTGCAGCCATGTATTTTTCAGATTGTGCCAGCAGGTTAGTATCGGAATAATAGATTCAAATTAATGTTTTCGGGTTGTATCACACACACGCATTGCGTGTGTGTATGTCTCTCTCTCTCTCTCTCTCTGTGTCTCTCTCTCTCTCTCTCTCTCTCTCTCTCTGTGTGTGTGTGTGTGTGTGTGTGTGTGTGTGTGTGTGTGTGTGTGTGTGTGTGTGTCTGTGTGTGTCTGTGTGTTAAAAATAATAAATTTTACAATATATTTGTGGCAAAATACAAATATATTGTAATTTATTTTAATTGTTTTCTAAGACTATCATTTCGTATTGCAGGATTTTAGTTACAGAAATACTGAAACGTAGTTTAAATATTTTTCATGTGATGTTCTCTAAAAGCTTATAAATATAATGTTTCATTCTGTACGCTTTTCAATATTATTTTTCTTCTAGCACGGCCATCACCTCCTCGTAACTGCTCATTATTAACCAGCAACGATTCAAATTGGATCGAAGATACATTTAAGGATGAAATTGAGGATTACGTCATAATACGTTGTGTCGCAGGTTTCGATGGTGGTCTTCCACAATTAGTGGTATTAGAATGTTTGGATCCTGATACTGGTATAATTAAATTCAACATAACTGCTAATGAGACAAGTAAGTCACAATGTATGTTGCATCGTCTTATTGCATATTTAAGATTTCACTTTTAAAATCGATTTGAAGTTTTAAGATTTTTAAAATTTTATTTAATTCGAAGTTTTAAGTTGAATGTTTTTTTTTTAATTTTGAAAATATTGGGTATGTACTAATGTTATAAATAATTTCATTGAAAATTTAGACGGCATCGCGATGTTTTTTATTCCCGTTGGATTGCTATGGGTGAATGATGCAGCTTTAAGGCTCACAGTATATTCGAGAAATGACAAGGGCGATTCTGAGAGGATCATGCTTAACGCCTTGGCCTATCAAGATCCAGAGCGACGGACAGGTATAATGTACTTAAAGTAAAATAATTGTATTTTTTCCATAAACTACTGGAATTATGATTTTTTGGTTATTATAAACCATTCATATTTATTAAAGTTTTAAATATGAAAAAGTAGAAATTTAAACTATATAAAATATGTGTACATTAAGATTTTCTACTCAATCATAATAAAACCTTCCAAACTAAAAATGAAAACAAAAGCAAGCACTATATAAAATAACGCCTTTCTTAAGACAATACAAAATTTGTTGACTTGATTTGATTTTTAAATATTTATATATATATATATTTTTTGATTTTAGAAATGCGTTGTCACCCCAGTGGATTAAGATGGAATGCCAAGATTCCAGTAAAAAGGGTCTCCGGTTCTTTACACCCACCATACCAACGCAATAAAATAATAAAATTCAGTTCACTTTAAATACCCAGAACGACGAAGGGGGCCAGTGTGCGATATGTCTGGAACGGCGATTGCCAATCCTCCTGCTAAGGGTGGTGATTTAAGCCGAATCCTACCAACAGTGGTGGAAGTACATGTCCAACAGGTAGACTTTTAGGGACTAGCAATAATAAAAGGATTTTAGACTATCATCACTAACAATTTTCCATTTGGTGACTTGTCATAAGTTTGTTTTTATTTGTCCGAAATCTTTACAATCAATTTATTGAAAATCATTGAAGTATTGTGTAATTACAGCCTTTGAAAGTCCACTGATGAAAATAGGCATCTCCCTCAGACTGCCTCATATGGGGGATATTGGCCGTAGTTGATACGCTTAGCAATTGGGTTGGCACCCGCAGTTTATTTTTATTTTAGTCGTTATTATTAAGTCGCTGCTGCCTATCTCCTGATTTGCTTCCATCCGTCGTTTCTTAAGACACTTACGGGATGATACGGATTAGTGGCTATTCTTTCACCGTGACTACACGTTGCAATTATGCCTGGAATGAAATAACTCTAGATATGTGAGAAGAAAAAAGTTAATGTACGCACGAACGTGCATGCTTAATATTTGTCCAAACAATTAAATCGGATCGTTTAGAAACGAAACTTTGAATTAAAACTTGCATTTTTACATGTCAGACCTACTACGAAAATTTATTACCGATATCTTTATCACATTCTTCAGAAAAAATACAAAAATATCCCAAGCATATTTTTGTATTTTTTCACATAATTAATAAAATTAAATATAAACCCAAAATATCCGTTAAATTTGTTTTATTCCATGTGTAGCATTCGCGCACACATAAAAAATCAAAATATGTACAAATTTTAAAAATATTCTTTAATTTTAGATGGGAACCACAGCCTTATGTCTGGTGTCTCTAGAGCTGCTTTTTGGACGGTTATTCTTACAGTAGTCCTTTGTACTGTGACAGCGGTGATTACTGGTTTATTTCTGAGGAGAAAGCGGTAAATGCAATATTTGAAAATTACCGTAGTATTTACAAAATTTAGACCCCTCTCTGCTTGATTTTTATTTCTATTATTAGAAAAACTTGATCATATTTGAACTTTGAATTATTACTAAGTACATGCCTACTTGATTCTAGCTTTGTGACATTTAATTAGAAATATAAAGTACGGAAAATACATCCAAAAATGCCAAAACATTTTTTTACAATGATCTTAGAAAGTATGTTTACTTTTTAATGGATTTTTACGAAATTTACAATTTTCAGTTATTTTTTACACTAAATCGAAGAAAATATGTTGTCATTTATTCTTTCTTTTATTCTGACTGACTTAAAATGTATTTCGTATATTTTTATCAAGCACCTTATGTTAATTTAATAAAGTGCGAGATAAGCTTCTGTTACTACATTGTTTGTTTATAGATACAATGCACGGTTTATATCTGACATTCATCAAAAATTGATTATATAACACGCGTTTTCATTTATAGAAACAGTTCGCGAACCAAGCAACACTCATCACATTTGCGATTAAATTCTGAAGATGGTCAGTATGTCGTAGCGTTCACATTGAAGCCACCCAAACAGACTCAACCTGATATTTTAAATCCACCGACAGGTAAGAAAATCAATGCTTGAGTCTTTCCTTAATCTATCACTATAAATAATACCACAAATATTATTTATGCCACATAAGGAGAGGTTAGTTATATATATATATATCGTTTTTTTTATTAGTTTACTTAATCTTATGTGGAGATTTACTCTACCTGTCTTTGAATCATAATGCAATATGCATAAGTAACATTATTATAATATATCAAAATAAATTGTAGCTTTGAGTATTAATAAATATGAGGAAGACACTAAACATAAGTAGATTGGGCACAGCTTTTAAATAATCTGTAATTTATGCCTAAAAGAAAGAAGAAAGTTTACACCTAGATTTAGACCTAGGTAAATTAAATCCAAATCATTTTTACATAACTTATTATATCCGCGACTTAGGTACGTCTAGTGTGGCTACCTTAACTTGCCATTACTGATATTACTTGATTTATGCTATCGTGTTTGTTATTTTATAAGTTAATAGAAGTCATAAAAGCTATAGATATGCTGCACTAAGTGATAGAGCCATGCTGCAGCTATATTAGTAGTATAGTTGAAGCACGAATGGGTCGGTTCGATCGGGGAAGGACCACGCTCTCACAGAATACCAACGTAAAATAACAGCTTAACGCTGCTGTGTTTCGTATGGTGAGTGTAGAGAACCGGAGACCCTTTTTATTGGAAACGAGGCATTCTATTCATCTTAGTCCTCACGGGTGACAATGCATCTGAATTTGGATTCATAATCGAGCATAGATGTGCCTCTATGGTTACTGTGGCCCATAACTGTCCATGGGCCACAGCAACCAATTACCATCAGATGGACTGTATGCTCGTTTGTAACCATTATGCTATAAAAAAATCAATTTATTCATAATTCGGACTTAGCAATACCCAGCTTTACTCAAAACCAACGAGCCACACCTAGTTTTGACCATGACAAAATCGTGTATGACTAAGTTTAACTAATCGCAATCAGCTGCAACGAAATGCAGCCGTCTAAACCTCAGTGTAACCGAACTATATCTTCTAACCGTGAGATTATATTTTAATAAAAATCCGTGTATAAATTTTCGTGTAAGTTTAATTAAGACAAAAACAGGCAGCTTAAATTTAGGCTGAAAAACAAACACGAACATTTACAACATTATGTCTATTTTAAATTTATGTCGAACCACCTTTTCACACAACATGAATCCATAGGGTACAAGCAATAAAGCTAACCAAATTTCATTCGTATTCCCAGAAGAATCATTACAAAACGAACTGTGTAATGCGTTGAAAGGGAGGTTGATTTTATTTCAACTTTATTGAATTACTTCGATGGTTTAAATAATGTGTCTTGATATTCGCTATATAAAAGTCAAAAAATATATCTTGGTAATGTCCTCTAGACCGAATTACGGTCATGGCGGCCAGCCTCAACGGACACTAGCCTTAGGTGCAGGACAGGATTAAAGTGCCCAAGTGTATACGCAAGCACAGGTGCACTCTCTTGGGACGGTAAACCGACACAACCGGAGAGAGATAGGGAGCAGGACCGACGGTTTTACGTGCTTTCCGAGGCACGGGTGTGAGACACCGCCAACTTCCTAACCCCATGCAGCTACTAAGAATTTAAATAATTTAGAATAAATTCTGATAATATTATTTAATTAATCGCAATAGATAAAACTCACCTTGCAATATATTTATCACATTGAACTGCAAAATCAAGAAATATAAACTTAGTCTTCATTGTTTCTAGTTGAGCAACTTTGTCACTAAAACTAGCAGATTTTCAAGCATTTTGGGACTAAAATTATTTTTTGACAAGAACAAATACTTTGGCATAGTTTAGTGACTTCTTATTCTTATTACGAATACAAATGAAGAAATGTATGCATTAATTTTTCGATGCCAAACGTGTTATTACGGTAAGTCCTCTCTAGAATGGCACATACTGGACAAATAGTTCAACTTTGACCGATAGGTTAATCGACGAGTTAAACTCAGCTTCGTAACATTCGGAAGATTGCGACACATCTTCTCGTCACGTTTACCTCAAATCTTGTAAACAAGATTATAAAATCAGTGCGGGTTGCCAGTGATGACTTATGGATCTTGACTGCTGGCCGTATGAGAAAGCTCAAGGTAGCTCAGCGAGCTATGGAGAGGGCTATCCTCGAAGTTTCTCTTCGTGATAAATTTAGAAATGAGGATAATCGCAATAGAACCATAGTGACCGACATAGCCCACACATATTATAATTGGATGTTTTATTTCTTTTGCAAGCGAGATTTAAATCGTCATATAATAATAATGTGACTTTTTTTGTTTATACTACTGACTCTTTCTATTTATTACCTGTCTATTAATTATATTACAGAGCACGAATAATATTTCACACGGCAAATATTTGTCAATTATTCAGAAAACTTACAAAACAATCACTAGAGTTGAGCCAAATCAATCTTCTTCATCCAATATTCAAAATGAAAGTGATAACACCGTAGAACTATTCATATTATTTGGCGACTTAAAACTTTAAATAACTATTAATTTAAAGTTTAAAGTTGCCAAATAGTTGTGTTATTCTATCAACTAAGTTGTCAACGACTTTTAGTGACTTTTTTTCTAAATTTATGATGTACAAGTTACCTTCAAGGGACAATTTAGAGACCTGAAATAATTCTCTACTTATAGCCTTACTTTTAAATATTTATACACCCGGGTATAATAATATGATAAGAAACCAACTTTCTTATGAACGACATTTTAATAATGTTGGTTTCGAGAATGTTTAAATTAATATGTACAAAATTTCTTCATTACGTAAATATAGAAACTTAACTAAAAATAATAATTAAAATTATAATATTTTATATTTAATAAAAAAATCGAGAAATAATTTCGACATGATGTCACTCCTGAGGTTGTAAATAAAACTCCTCATAGCCTGTAGTTATATATCTTTCTATTCATATCGGAAAACAGCAATGGGAGCCAAAAATATCAAAAAGGAAAATTACCGACCACGTGATTCGTATTATGTCCTAAAAATATTTTTTGACATGCAGGTTTCTGTTTTTTTACAATTAATAATATCAGTGGGCATTATGTCCTCGCCTTACCCCTGAACTACCATTCTGAGCTAATAACTGTTTTAAGCTGAATGAATAATTGAAAGAAGAATAAAATAAAAACTAACATAATCTATTTTTCCTTAAAGATTTTGAAAGTTCTTCAAATGGAAAGTGTAAGTTAGAGGTGGCTGCCAAAAATGAAACACTTCTCATAAACGACGAGTGCCACGATCACGAGCCAATCCACCCGGTAAGTTAATATAACCTTCATGATAACATTTATCACTGCTCTAACGTGTATTTTACATAATTTAAACGTTCCTGTAATATTACGTTTTGTCAAATGTAAGTGAGTCAAAGAGTTTTTTCTGCCCTTCGATGCATCCAGGCTTCGAAGCGCGACAGGATTCTCTGCTGTACACTGTAAATTTTAATTCAACATCTTCGGATGGCCAGCCTTTTAACCCATACAGACGCCCTATACAGGCACTATATTACTCCCGCATAGAGGCGATGCAATTTTTCCGTCGGTCCCCACATATTGAGCAGCAGTCTATGTATAGCACCCGTTTCCCTTTCATTCTGGAAGATTAGGTGATAGAAGTGTTCTTTGAAACCCAAACGACTGCCGAAATGGAGACCTAAGAACTACATGTACCTCCTCACTCTGACTTAGACCCACCCACAAAGACGCACGAGTTGGGTGGTTAACTGCTCATCCCTATCAGATCTCGGCGAGCTGCTAGGCCCTGTCGAAGGTGAAGGTGGCAAACACCAACGCATCGTCGACATAGCACATGCCAGCGGTTAGGTTGACGCGCAGAACTGCATCATTGGCGAGGCCCCTCTGTAGGGCCACTACAGCTGCTAGCAACTCCACGTTTGATCTCTCCCTGGATCTTTCTTTCATCTTACCCCTTGTACCGAATGTATCTGTCGCGCAAATAATCCTCGATAACACTACAGGTAGGGGATCGGAATATGGGGGAGGCATTATGCTATCTTAACACTACGAGTTTGTAGTATTAAGATGTTTATAGCCTGTTACTATACGCTGATTTTACATTCTATATGAAGTCGAACAATCATAGAATTACTATACGTACATACCAATTTTATGAAATATACGTTACAGACATACTCTAGAAATATGTGTGGATACTCTCTGAACCATTTTCTGTGTGAAAATAAAATAATTTTCGATCGTTTTATAGATTCTGCCTTCACCTAAAATGTCGATTTCAAGTAAGCTACCAGTCACAATGAACACAATGACTTTAAGTAAACGTGGCCATCTTGCAGCAGAAGATTTACCAGGACCAGAGAGTTGTGTATAGAAAATGTGTTGCATAATTAAGTAAATATTTGTAATTTTTGTAATTATGAATAATTGTGTATTGACTGTGAAAATTGTGATAAATATTGTAAATAATTGTTAACGATAATAAAATGAATTAACAATTATTGATGTTGTTTGTTTTTCAACCAAAATATGAATGATGAAAAAGTTTGAAAAAATGTACCTTTCATGTAAAATCCTTGAAATTGCAGATTGATGGGTAATTGATATTTAACATATTAAGGCTAGTAATGATTTCGTTTTTTGCAAGGTCGCAGTCAGCAGAATTTTAGAGTAGTGTAGCTGCCGCTTTATCCTCCGTATCAATAATGAAATCCCGAGTCAAAAGGACCCGCCCTATGAGTAGTAGTAGCGATTGACTGCCTCGTTGGTCTAGTGATCGTAACCACAATTGCCGATCATGAGTTCCTCGGTTCGAATTCCAGGTCGAGCCAAAAATCAGTTATTGGATTTTTCTGTCAAGAAATTCTTAGTAGATGTAAACAACAATTCAGCAATATTACAAATAAAAAGAAAGAATAAAAATGTGATAAATATAATGTCTCATCCTTTGATGGTATTGTCATCAGTTCAACGCCTAAAGAAACTTCACAAGTGATGTGTAATAACTAAAATAAATCCCTACTTGTTAATTTAAAAACGCATTTATTTGAAACGGTTTTTTTTTTCGTTTTTAAGATGATACAAGACTAACAATTCACCCCTACTACTGTGCTAACATCAAGATACCTACAAGTGTTTTGCTACCTTTAAGGACTTAGAAACAATGTCTTCCTTTATAACGGTATACAGCAGTAATTGCTTTGTGATAAAAATTGGAAAGAGAATGATACCTAATTAGATGAAAACCGAGGTAGAAAAGAAGTCTCACCTTGAAAAAACGTAATCTTGTAATAAATTTCCTTAAAACAATAAAATACTATAAAATACAGCAAAAATATAAGAAAACATATATTTTCCAATAATAATTGAGCTATGGATTCAGGGAAAATCATTCAATCTGTATTCAAATACAACTCCGAAATCTCTTAAATCTAGTAGATAATATAATTAGCCCCAACCTAATAGTCCACCATTGTGTGTTTACTGCCGTAAATCAAAACATAATCTCTAAATAATAATTTGTGGGATTGGGCCACCTGCATTCATCGACTTCCTGCATCTCTTACCAGATCATCACTCAAACCAATGATATTGTAAGTAAAAAGGTGTTTTCTTATAATATCATTGACTCAAACTAGTAGTAGTTTCCCAACAATTCACTTAAGGACAACGTGTCAGATACATAAAAAGGCGCCACTGGCACACTTTTTTTTAAATTTGAGGCATTCGTGACGAGAATATGATGTGACGTAATATCCCAATTATCATAATGCTACCTAGCCGAGTTCTATCTCTTGATTGACCTTCGACCTCTCTGACCGGTAGAAGATGGACTTATCTAATAGAACATTTTGTCCTAAGTCAACATACACACCAAAAACTTTGATCGTAGTGATCCCAACAACTACTGATAAAGGTGAATCAAGGACGTTACACATTACCTTTTTTTGTCCATGTTTATCTTGATGCTTATCGGTTTGGAGGCATAATAGAGGTCACTGGTCATAGTAATGAGGTCCTCCAGCGTTTTTACCATTTTTTTAAATACTAGCAATTCTATTAATGTTGCTTACATTCCATTTAGTAATGACTCTATAATCGGCATAACAAAAGACAAAAATTGAAATATTGTAGTTAATAATAACAATAATTTTAAATATCGAAAACAGTTAAATAATTTATACGTCACACCGCAGAGAACATGTTCAATTTTGAGAGTTTTTGTAAAATACATTTTTAAATTGTCACACTGGTAAGTTACTTCTATATGTTTCCTTCAATGTCGAGCTCGTGTTAAATAAAAAATAATATGCACTTAAAATTTTCATTGGCGCCGATGGGTATTGAACTGGCTTGTGCTCATTTAGGACGCACGTTAAAGGTAAAAATAAAATTCTTCATGAAAAACTTTTTTCAAACTATTGCCTAATATAATAATATATAATTATTATACAGAACCCAACCAGATGAGAAAACTATATAGATACCCCACAATAAATATAATTAATATACTATAATCAGTTTTTCAAATATATTTTTCCTTTTATTTCCTTTGTAAATATTTGTTCAGTATTCGAAGAGCAAGTAGTACTGGTATTGTCTCATTCCTTTATGAAAATTTATTATATAATATGAGATGAGAATACTATGAGAGGCCTTATTAATTTTCTTTATTACGTAGTATTAGTGATGGTACATACTCAGAGTAAATACAACATAAAGGGAATAAAAAAAGAATAAAATTAAATTAAAACTCTTCACGCATATAACATTTTACTTAGTATTTAAATAAGTATTATTGTAGCTTTTCTTCTTTCACAAGATTGCCTTCTTTATTTCATAGAAACCGCAGTTAATGGGTCATTCATGAAACAAAAAGCGTTGTCGATAAAGTCATGTTTTCGGTATACAAACAAAAAATAATACCTAGTAACGTAAATTGAAAAACATGGAAGGACCATGCTCTCACAGAATAACAGCGTGAAATAGCATCTTCATGCTGATGTGTTTCATATAGTGAGTGTAAAGTATTGGAGATCCCGTTTACTGGGGATAAGGCATTACATCGTGGTCCTCGGGATGACAACGCATTCTGCATTTTCTAAATCGTGGATGTGGATGTCTACGGGACGCAGCGTTCGTTTTCGATCAGGTGGACTCGAACCCCGTTTCTCGTCTTTAATAATACACCATAAAATAAAATGAAGGACCAAAATCCTCTGACTTACTCGACGGTAAGCTTTGGTATTTTGAGTTATTAAAATACTGTGCCCCGTGTGTGATTGTGAAGATTTAGTATTCATTTCTCACTAACTGTAAGTTTCCAAAGTTTGCGACACAAGTATCTACAATGCAATCTACTACTCCATACTCTATTGATAACAGCTACCTACATCGATAGAAAATAATTCTAGACCTTATTTTCTTTGAAATACTTAAACAAAAATAAGTTTATCGATGTCGTTTTGTGTTAACATTGAAAAAGAAATAACTATAGGTCAAAGACGTCACGGGATTTAGATAACGACCCACATAATACTATTACTTAAGGATTACATTTTTCTAGTAAATAAGAAGATACGAGTATACTTATTTTCTTACATTTGACGGAGTATGAAGAGACCAAATATGACTATTTGCAATTTCAAACAACACGCTTGTATTATACGCAACATTTTAATAGGATTGTTTCTTACTGCCTTATTTTAGAATTAAACTATAAACAAGTAAATTTTAAATCGTTTTTTTAATTATCATTCGAATTTGAGATAGTACATTCAAAATTTCATGTTTCCAGAGCATCGGGAAGTCAGTTTAAAATCAATTAATAAATTCCACCCATAACGACAGACAAGAAAGTGACTTGATAAAATCGTGGTAAAAAGAGATAAATAATAAGTATTGACGCCCTTTATGTAGAATTGTAAATTCCTTCTATGGAGACATAATTATTATGTACTTTAGTTCTCTAATGGTACATCTATATATCTGTATAAAACACGAAAAATATTTCTACCCATGTCCTTATGTACTAACTGTCTTGAACTCTACTGATAAACATATAAAATCTATGTGTTTTCTGTATACACAATTAATAATCGTCGCTGGTGACAAATAAATAAAAAATAGAACTATTTGTCCTTGTCCAGAGATTTCTTTTATGTCTTGTCCAGAAGCTAACTATATTCAGAACCAAAACTCAATCAGCATGTATAATAACCAAATAAACCAAGTGAAGTGGAATGATGTTCCCTCTGAGATATACAAATAAGAGTACGATGTCATGTCTGACATTTCATCTGTTCTACTCGTATTATAAGATGACAGCCCACCCTTACCTTTTCAGTTTGTCTTAACCAAGCAGCTCTATGGCACACCTGTTGGTTGTTACATTAATGGCATCAATGTCAATAATATCAGTTACGCCAATAATATGGTGCTGCTGCGTCCCTCAATAAATGTCTAAAGAAAAATGATAACCGAGTTTGGAAGCATATTGACACATGGCCTAGTGTACAATTTATCAAAAAGCGAAATTTTTGTGCTTTCTTCTGGAAGTTTTTCAGACCTGCAAGAGTAGAGTGAAAGTTATTTTCACACATCGTTGTCTTTAATGTAGTTGATCTATTTTGTTGTAGAATTTTTTAGCAAATTTTCATAACATTTTTGTAATCATTGAAGCGACAGTAGCCAAATGACAGGGCGCGGATCGCGAACTCAAAAAGGTCGTGGGTTCGAATCCGCCATTCGACTACTGGCGTGAACCACTCGTAACACAAGCAGTGTAAGCTTACCACGAGTGGTTAAGGGGAATGTTAGTAATGTTTGTAGCATTGTTAATATTCTTATTCAAAAAAATAACAAATTTTGCACTATGTTTTGAGGAATTTCGTTTTAAAATTGTATGGGTCTACTAAGAAAATACTTTCTAGCTCTAGCTAATATAAATTTAGAAATCTTACTTACGGAACTTAGGTACTACTTAGGTACGGAATAGAGAAGCATTAAACTGCTACGTTACGCTGGTGTGCTGTGAGAGCGTGGTTCTGTCCCGGTCAAGCCAACCCATTCGTGTAACAATCATAATATAGCTGTAGTATGGCTCTACCACAAGGAAATCCAACATAGTCTTTAGATTTGACAAAGCACCTGCATTTGGATTTTATGAATGATTGACGTATGCTTTTAAAATACATCGTTCATTCCATCCCATCGGACTATGAGAGTGAGGGGATAGATACCTGTATTTGCAAATACACTTGTGCACGTTAATCATGTTGCAGAAGGCTCCATTTAGATCGGCTGTCGTAACCGAAATCCGATTTGGTTCACACACCTGTGCATTCTTCTTAGGTATGATTGTTAAATTACTAA